GAAGTAATCGTATCTGGTACATTATGTGGATATGATCCATTAACGACCTTCCAAATGCATAGTAGTCTTAACATGTTACATATATCCATTACGTGGATAAGATTATTTTGCCTAGGTATCCTACTTGGAATCATGCCATGTTTTTCAGATGTCTTGTTCCAATACAAATTAGGCGATATATCAACTTCAATAAGAAATCGACATGACAGAAACATAAATATAATCAAATTGCCATTATTTCTAATGATTACTTTACAAGATATAACCATTTCCCTTTGACCAGCCGATGTTGATTTATAGAGCTATTTCTTGACATTTAAGGTGATATAGTTTTGACGCCTTTATTCATATATCGAATTGTAGTTAAACATCATTTCTATCATGTCAGGATCCAGATGGATACTTTACTAATTATATGTAAAATCCATGCTTAAAGTTTTCTCCAATGAACGTAACCTTTACATGCATTTACATATGCCTTCATGTGGAGGCAAAGCTAAGTAACACCAAACAAATAATTCCCTTTATTGTCAGTATGTTTTAAAACTCTGATCTCTCACCCCCTTCTTCATCTTCAAAACCAAGCGAAAACCTCCCAACTCAACACAACAAAGTCCCATTCTTTTTCTCTCCAACAACCCCTCTTTTTTTAAAAAAACATAATAGACTTCTAGAAAACCCTCATGGTTCCTAGCATTGTTATGCAAGTAGTGAAAGCTACAGTTCCAAAACAAAACACAGCCTTTCAAAACCCTCCCTTTTTACACCTTTTGCCTCCTTGGGTTCTTTCCTCTCTCTCTCAGTTCTTCTCTCAAAACTGTCTCAGAAGAGGAGTAGAGATATAGAGAGCAATAATGCAGCTGCATGTGTCACCGAGTTTGAGACATGCAACGGTGATGCCGGGGAAAGGTGTAAGAGAATTCATCAAGGTTAGGGTTGGTCCACGGTGGGCTTCCTACCGAATGCTCTTTTATTCGCTTCTCTTCTTCGCTTTCCTTGTTCGTTTCACCTTTGTTTTGTCCACTGTTGATGCCATTGATGGGGATCAGTCCAAGTGCTCCACCATTGGTAATTAACTCTTTTTTTTTTCAGTTATATTTTTCTTATTACCTGACATGGTAAATAACCAGACAATAGTACTCTTATATTTTTTGATTTATCACAGGTTGCTTGGGAAAAAGAAGAGGGCCAAAAATCTTGGGAAGAAGGTTTCAGTCACATGTAAATCCATGTGCTCTAGTTATTTCATTAAATAGTTATCTCATTCTTATTTTAAAAAAATAAGGCAATAATTAAGAATATCATGGTTTTTCTTTACTAAGAAATTTAAATGAATTGTGGGTTTTATATCTGAAGGTTCCAGAGGTGATATACCGGAAATTAGAAGAAGCAGTAAAGGAAGATGAAGTACAAGGGAAAGCTGATATACCTCAGACATTACAAGATTTCATGGCTGGAATCAAGGAAAGTAGATCTGATGCTAAATCCTTTGCTCTAAAGCTTAGAGAAATGGAAAGTATTAGATATTATTGAATCTAGACTTATATAAAGGTTGAACTATCAATAAACTATACTGTCCAAGTTTTAGATTAATTATTTTAGATTGAGCTTACCTAATCTTATTGTAGATTAATCTTAAGGATAAACTACATGCATGGTCATTAAACATTTAAGATACTTTTATTTTGGTCACTAAAATTAAAAACCTTATCAGAATCATTGTTATTAAGTAAAACTTTTATTTCGACCATTGACTGTTAATACATTAATGATAGCTAATGTGACATGCTCAAATGTCTGACGCCGACTGAGGCAATATGCTACATGTGACATTAATTTATAAAAAAGTGATATGTGGGCATTCTATTTCAACCGTCAATAAAATGTGAGCATGTCTCCTTTGGTATCGTTAATAGATTAACTGTTCAATGATCACAATAAAAGTTTTTTAATGACAGTGAATAATGAAAGTTTTTAGATTTTAATGACCAAAGTGAAAATATCTTAAAAGTTTAGTGGTCATTAGAATATTTTACCTTTAATATTTTATTAATTTTTAATATTGAATGGATTTTCGAATCACCAATTAACTTATAAATAATATTACATTTTTACTTCTTTTTCTTTCAGGTACTTCTCCTTGAACAAAGAACGAGAAAAGCCAAAATCCAAGAATATTTGTAACATGTAGCATCAAGCAGCATACCAAAACAGTTGCATTGCCTAGCACTAAAGCTAGCCAATGAACGCTCCAGCAACGCCGCCGCTGGCCTCCAGCTCCCCTCGGCCAAGCTAGTCCCCGCCCTTGTCGAACAACTCATACTTCCACTTCGTCTTGGCGCCCGACACTGTGCTCGCCGCCTCGGTCGTCACAACAACCCTCATTAGAAACTCTTTGCACCCTCAAAATTTTGTGCTACACATAGTTACCGATAGGAAAACGTACGCCCTGATGCGGGCCTGGTTCTCGTTGCATCCTTTGCTCCTGCTGTCATTGAGGTCAAGGCATTGCATCAATTCGAATGGCTTTCGAAAGGGTAGATCCCCGTTTTGGAAGCCATGGAGAAAGATCAACGAGTAAGGTCCAAGTTCAGAGGGGGCTCATCAGCAATTGTAGCAAATAATACCGAGAAGCCTCAAGTTATTGCTGCAAAACTACAAGCACTTAGTCCTAAATACAACTCCATGATGAATCACATTCGCAATACATTTACCTGATATAATATAAAATTCGTGTCGAACACATACTCTTATCTGTTTTTCCAGCTGTTTCCCAGCCTGAACAAGGTAGTCTTCCTGGACGATGATATCGTGATACAAACTGATCTTTCACCTCTATGGGACGTTGATATGAACGGGAAAGTAAATGGAGCAGTGGAGACATGTAGAGGTGAAGATTCATTCGTGATGTCGAAGAGATTCAAGAGCTATCTCAACTTCTCACATCATCTGGTTGCAAATAGTTTTGATCCTAATGAATGTGCATCGGCTTATGGTATGAACATATTCGACCTTGAGGCTTGGAGGAAGTCGAACATTACTCGCACATATTATCATTGGCTGGAGCTGGTAAGCTCATTAATCATTCATCTAACTTGCATGTGACGGCACTGTGGCGTCCTGAGTAATTCAATTGGTGCTGCAGAACTTGAAATCGGACCTGAGTTTATGGCAGCTTGGAACATTACCGCCCGGACTAATATCATTCCGCAGTCAAGTTCGAGTTATCGATCCATTTTGGCACATGTTGGGATTGGGTTACCAAGATAATACGACTTTATCTGATGCGGAGACGGCCGGCGTTATCCATTTCAATGGCAGAGCTAAGCCTTGGCTTGACATTGCTTTCCCTCAACTTCGACCATTGTGGGCTAAGTAGATCGATTTCTCAGATAAAATTCATCAAGGGTTGTCACATTCGGGCATCGTGATGTAATTATGAGAGAAGTACATGTTTGTATATGAGGAACGAATTCATGGCCTTCAATACAAATTTTCAAACGAGGGGATAAAAACATGTTCCCAGTGACGAAAACATAATAAATCAATAACATAAATGAACAAAAAAAAGATTTGGAACAAAAAGGACCATTTTAATAGTTTACTCTTAAATTTATTGAAGAAGTGGCGCTAAAATGACAAAGCTATCCTTTAAATGGATATCCTTCTGGTGGTCAATAGTTTCCAGTTCTTCAACGGATATAAACTGAAACACAAAGAAACCTCAACTCTTATCTCTAACTTAACACTGCTATTCTTCTTCAATCCTCAAATTCTTCATGAAAATGGCGCATTTAGCCAGCTTAAATGGAATCAGTGAGACCCTTCCCACAACCCCAAAGCTTCCGACCTTCCAAAGAACCCGAAAAGCATCGGGTTTCTCGGAAAGAACACTTCAAACTTCCAGGAACAACCACCACCACTACAAACTACAAGAAGAACGGCATTGGCCCTTGCCTCCATTGCTTTCGTCGGAATTTCTAGCAACTGTATCTCCCTCGCTGAAGATGACGGTTATTGGATAACCAATCTTTTGCCGGTCCCTTCAGTCGAAAATAGTAAGCTTTCTTAGACCATTTTCTCATTCTTGCAGGTGTTCATTGCTTGTAATGCAACAGTTCTCTAATACGTATTGAAATATGATTCCGTTTTTCCCCCTCCAATGGCAGAAGATATTACGAATCCAGAGACCGGAACTCGATCTTTCGTCAAGACAGGACTATATGTGGCTAATCTTAACACCAAGAACCAGATATATAGGCTCAAGAAATATGCATTTGATCTGCTTGCAATGGCGGATTTGATTGGACCAGACACTTTGAATTATATTAAGAAGTATTTAAGACTTAAATCTGCCGTTATGTACTTTGATTTTGACAAAATTATCTCTGCGGCAGCAGTGGATAATAAGCAACCACTCATTACTTTGGCCAACAGATTATTTGACAGTTTTGTGAAGGTAAAAGAATCAATCTCTGAATCAATCTGCAGAAAATGAAAGATCATTATCAGGCTAAGATTGTAAATGCTTTCCTGTTTTGTTCGCAGCTCGTAGACGCTGCGAAGATGCATAATTTTCCACTGACCGAATCATGTTATCAAGACACAAAAAGTTATTCTCCAAGAGGTCATGGCTCGAATGGCCTAAATCTGCAGCATTTTTCTTTGTCAAATATTGGGCAAATTCTATATGCTTAACAATGATGCAGCGCACTTGTCCTCGAGTACATTATCATATATGATTAGGGAAAAACAAAGATGATTGTGTCTGATTTCAATTTGATGGCAGGAATTAATTTCAGTAGATTACCATGTTATCCCGATATTCTATTTTTGTTAAATTACTCATTCTCGATATGTATTATCCCGATGATTGTGTCCGATACGTACCCGAGTGCAAGTAACAAAGGAAACAAGAATCCAGGTCTGAATTGCAGATAATTAATGTGGCACTGTTTCTTCTAATTGAAAAGAAAAATTGTTCATGACTACACATATTCTTGCAGGGTCTATCTCATGTTTTAATACCATATGAAAGGTTTTCATCATGTCCAGGTTATCATGTTCTTAGCATTTTTCTGCGACAATTTGTTTCACATTCATTCAGATTTTTTGCCAACTCCATCAGCAGAGGTATCAATATGCAAAGGCTTTCGAGGAATTCGGATCTCGAGAACCACATCGTTACTTAGGTATGTCTCTATTCTTCTGCAATCTGCATATTCTGGTAGTTCAAGCCTCCTTACATATCCATATTCCCACCAATTGCAGCTTCTCCAATCTTTTTTCTGAGATTCCCTTTGCAGCAGCTTTAGTTGACCAAAAATTTCAACAATTTTCCCCTTTTCGACATGGATTGGTATATTATTCGTTTTCCCAATTCCTGTTTTAATCCATCAAAACATCATTTGATCAGTCTAGACAAAGATAAATAACCACTAAACCTATGGAATCTTTATCCCTATTCTTTCAAAGAATTCCTCATGGCTAAATTCATCTTAGTTTTCTCCTTTTTCGGAACCAAAAATGTTTCAAACACAAGGTTCCTTGTTTTACAAGTCAATTTAGGGTTCATATCTATCTTAATGACCAATAAAACATCACCTGGCAGCCTAAAAAAAAAGAACCTATGGGATGCCGTAATTCCAACTCTTCCAAAGGATTTTCCATCAGTAACTCCACCTTATTTATCCCGTTTCTGGAACCAAAACTGTTCCGTAAATAAGGTTCCTTGTTTTACAAGTCACACAGCTTCAACCTTAGGGTTCATACCTACCTTTATGAACATAAAATTTATATTCAATGTTTGGAATTCTTAAAAGGGTGCCCGAAAAGAACACTTACCTGGTAGTTCTGCTTTGAGAACGTAAGCCTGGTTTGTCTGAAACCAATCAACCGAGCTCTTGCCTGAGTTCCTTAGATTTGATAACAAGCTATCTGATTCAAAGTCCCACAGAGGAAAAGCATCTGATGGATCAAAGAATTTTCCAAACAAAAGTGGACTAAACAATGATCCTTCCCCAAATACCTTATGCACTGTTGGATTTCCCTGGGAGAGTAGCCTCTTGAATTCTTCTTCGGATAATGAAATACACCATTTGTGAGGAGTTTGATCTTCTACTTGAACTTCAAGTTTAAGACAACTAGTCATTGAAAGACTACAAAACCAAAAAAACGAAGAAAAACTATGATCTTCAGAGTCTTCTTGCGAGAGAGTTTTGTGGAAATTTGGCATCTTATAGTGTGAATGGGAGTCTTTTTGATAAAGCAGTGGACAAGATTCTCAGAGACCATTTGGAAGAGTGTAAAGTAAAAGAGAAAGAAAAGGAATCGTTCTCTTATGGAAATTGATCACCGATGAGAAGAAGCATGGACTCTTCAGTTGTCCTAAAGTATCGATATTTGATATTGCACTATGATTTTCTAAATTAAAGTTGTGTGAAAAGAATATTTTTTTATCTAGTTTCGACGTAAAATATATCTCTCTTCTTACATCTGAATATATGTCGAAAGCCAAAGAATATGAAAACCGAAGCAACTTAAAAGTATTTCTTTCAAATTTAATGGATGTCAGCTGCCTAGTTCCATTTCCACCTATTGAGGCTACTGTATATGCATGCATGTGTGGTTTTTGACATCTTTTAGAACTACTTTTCCTAAAACACAAGAATTGGTATCTTCTTTTCTCCTTCATATATGCTTGAATTTGGAGCTGTGGAAATGCAGCAGCCGCTTTGCATATGGGAATATCAAGTCTGAAATTAAACTGGTCCCATTTTTCATTCATTGCCCTTATGTTGCAGTTCCTTCAATGACTATATAAAGATCATCTGATCTCCTGGTTTTGCATGTTTCATCCATCCCAGACAAAATGCAGCTATAAGTAAACATTTAATAGAATAGACAGAATTTTAATCAATAGTTGAAAATCATATATTATCTTACATTTTTAATTGAGCAATTAAATTAAAACTTTTTTTTTCATGTCAATCCCTTTCCATCTTCAGTCCTACCGAGTGGGGTTTGAAGTAATCCGAAGCGGGGCGGAGCAGTTAACGTCGCGTCAAGAAGGGAAGTAAATGGTATTATCGTTCACTCGATAAAGAATCATATACAAAATTTTTCTTCCCTCCAAGGTAAAGTGGATTCTAACAACATTACCCCTGTTAAATATTCTTTCGAGATCGATTTAAGTGCAACTGGCAGATGAATGGAAATCCAACAGGAACCATAAATCGAGTACCAGAGGAAGGTCAGCAGTTTGCGATGTTAGTTCCACAGACGTCTTACATTGAAGCAGTGATGCCATTAGCTTATCCCCTTTCGGTCGGTATTTTGTATGTATTAATAACTGCATCACCAATGGTTTGGCGGTCTCTCGTCTTGATCAACTGCCAATGCAACATTCACATGATGGAAAACATAACTTAGATCTCACTGGCAACATTATTTATGCGATATGTTGTCTCAGTACTAAGTTTCAGTATATAATGTGGCAAGGTATATATTTGCTTGAAAAAGGTAAGAACGTCATACCTTTTCCGAATGAATAAATATTAACTATTCTCATCTGAACTAGAATCAGAACTAGAATCATCCACCCTTTGCTGAGAAATTGCATTAGCAAGCTTCTGACGAGGATCAGGACGAGGTGGTAGTGCAGCAGGAGGATGAGAAGGCAGTGGTGCAGTACGAGGACCAGGAGAAGGCGGCGGTGGTGCAGGAGGACTGGTGGAAGAAGGTTGTGGTGGAGCAGGAGGACTGAGAAGGTGGTTCGGCACTAGGATCAGGGGAAGGTGGTTCGGCATGAGGATCGGGAAAAGGTGATTCGGCAGGAGTATCAGGAGAAGGCGGTGGTGCAGCATGAGGATCAGGAAAATGTGGTGCGGTAGGAGGATCAGGAGAAGGTGGTGCAGCATAAGGATCAGGTGAAGGTGGTGAAGCACGAGGATCGGGAAAAGGTGGTGTAGCACAAGGATCAGGTGAAGGTGACGCGGCACGAGGATCGGGTGAAGGTGGTGCAGCATTAGGATGAGGCGACGATGGAACGGCACAAGGATCAGGAGAAGGTGGTGCAACACGAGACTCAGAGGTAGATGATACATTGGACCCCTGCTTTTTAGGTGGTGGCTTAATAGGGCAATTTTTAACCTCTTTGCACACCTTATCCAAAATAACCAAAAAGTCCCGAACGATGGAAAACAATCGTAAGCCCTCATCCTTTTTTACATTACCATGAAAGTAATCGCCGGTGCTCTTCACTAAATCCATTACTTTCTTCTCCTCCTCAAGCAATGACATGACATCCGACTCGGCATTCTGCACAAAACTCTTTAGTGTGTCGTGGAAACCACTTTTTTCATCGCTATCCTTCATCTCAATGTTCAAGAAATTACATGCTTTCACCATGGCTTGGCCAATTCTGGCAACAGTTGCTGTCAAGTTTTCAGCATCAAGAGCAGCAGCTTTCTTGACATATTCAAGCTCACTACTCAGATTTGAAACCTTCTGGAGACCAAGGCTGCGGTAGCGCTCTTCCTCATCAGGGGAAGCATCCTCAAGAAGTTCTTCGGATTTTATGCTACTAAAACTTTTGCTCTCTCTTGCAACCCGGGCAGCTCTCAAACCTTCAGTGCGTATTATTTCTTGGACAACAAAGTGCAATAGTGTTGTCTTACCATCTACTCCTTTAACATCTGATAACTTCAAAAGTGTGTCAAGTTTGAAAGCTTGTGCACCACCACGGAATGTTCCGTCATTCATGCGATTTCCGGTTTTAAGAACAGCTTCTAAGAGCTTGAAGAAAAGGCGACTGCTTTTAAGTTCCTTGCAAGCAGACTGAAAAAAAAAGGAAAGAAACATTTTGGTTTACCATCTAAAATGTGTTTTCAATGCACGACGTAGCTTGTATTAATTATCAAACCATGCTTATCATGCAAGTCATACAGTTTAAAATATAATGACCCACCTCTAATGTTTGAAAGGATTCTCTCGTCGCAGTAAGATCGTCATGAAGAGTGCACATAAACTGCAGTGTTTCCATCTTTTTATAAGCATAAGGGATGTCGACCAAGGCTTTCAGGAACCGCTCAGCAGGGCCAAGTTGACTCATTGTACCAGTGAACAGTCTAAGTTTCAGTTCTTCCTCTTCAGTAGGTGCCATCTTCAATAAAGTTTGGAGGAGTTCGATGGGAAGCTCATTTGCTGATTTCAGAAGAACAGGTTAGAATATCGATATTGAAAGCTGAACAAACCAGTAATGCTTTTCCAAATAACAATGAAATTGCAAGATGGATTAACAGCATAAAGCCAAATCTTCAATAAAGTTTGGAGGAGTTCGATGGGAAGCTCATTTGCTGATTTCAGAAGAACAGGTTAGAATATCGATATTGAAAGCTGAACAAACCAGTAATGCTTTTCCAAATAACAATGAAATTGCAAGATGGATTAACAGCATAAAGCCAATCAAACACATGATTGATCAAGAACACAGAGTTTCTTGAAGCTCTTTCAGTTATGAACTACACCCTCACATGATATTTAAGAAAATACTTTTAGATCAGAAAAAACTCGTCCAATATGATGACTCCTTCTCCTCCTTGACACAACCGAAAAAAGGAGGAACGAAAACACTTTGGGCTGTTCTATCTCAAATGGTTAGCTTCAACTATATATCCATGTTCGGTTCAGGCACTACACATGTTTCTCAGAAGCACATTCTTTTAAAGGATAAATAAGGTGGAAGAAAGAACCTTCAACAAGTGCATCGGAAACTTCTTCTGAGGTCACATTCAATGCCTTCAAAAGGATTGATAAGTCAGAGGTTCCTTCTTAGTGGAATCCCTTTTATCGCTCTTGCTCTTCTCAACAGGTGTATACCCAAACAGTGTTTCAATCTTCTCCTCATTGAACCTGCAAAGTTAATACCAAGTATCCCATACTGATCCATTGGCATCAAGAGTAAAAGGAAACAAGAACAGAATAGTTACATACTGGAATGATCCCGCTTTAATCTGATTCCACACCTGTCCTTGCTCAGGGGTATTTGCAACTTTATCCCAAAAAAATGGCTTCAGTTTGGCTTTAGCTTCCCCTGAGCCACCTACCCCACGACCCAAGGCTGGTGGTCGAGGCACCTTTGAACCTAAGGATGGTGGAGGCGCTCTTGGAGCACCACCACCTTTTGGAGGAGGTGGAGGAGGAGCACCACCTTTTGGAGGAGGTGGTGGAGGACCTGGTTTAGCAGCTGGAGGTACAGGTGGAGGAGGAGGTCCAGGAGGTCGAGGGCCTGCACAGCGAGATGGTGGTGGAGGAGGAGCATTATCTGGTGGGGCAGGAGGTTGAGGAGCATCTTTTCCAGGAGGAGGATTCAAAGGAGGTAATCCACCTGAACCAGTCCTTCCTGGAGGCAACGGTAAATGTGAACCGGCATTTTCTGGTGGTTTCTCAGAAGATTCAACTGAGGCATTGGTGACATTTCCATCCAAGGATATTTCTAGAGCATCAGATTCAATGCCATTAGTTGAAGCATTTTTATGTAAGCTTGATTCTTGACTAGATCCAGCAGCAAGAGAAGAACCTGAAAAAGGAAAAGGAACTTTCCATAAAAGATTCGACAAAAGCTTCTAGAAGGCAACAGCATGTTGCAAAGGGAATGTCTACACCACCTGAGGCATCACTTCTTAAACTGAGAAGGGGGCTCTCATCATTTAATGTAGATCCAGGATCACTACGACAGCAGATAAATAGTACCACTAATGCAATAAGAGACGTTACTACTGCAGTGGCGACACAAGCAATAAAAATTATTGTATTGTCTTCCTCTTCCTCTTCTATTTCTTCTTCTATAGTTACAGCTTCAGATTGTTTCTTATGTATAGTTAGTTGAGAAGTTGATAATTTGACACTTAACGATAGATCTGTACTAGAATCAGGAGATTCATAAGAAAGCGAGGGGGCTGGAGGTGAAGATCGGCCTAAGTTCGAGGCAGAGTCTACTGCAAAGCTCTGAGTAGCTAAACTCCTCCTAGAAACCTCACACCAGCGAATCAATGACTTGGAATAAGGGGGATAACAAGTCTTCAAGCCACTGTCTTTTCCAGTTTCTTGGAATAGAAGTTTATTCTTTCTTATGCAGTCAGAAAGAGATCGCTTTAACTGGGGACGGAGAACGTTAATCAATTTCTGAAAGCTTTCTTTTGCTAATGAGTGACTTTTTTTATAGACACCATTGGGTCTACTTCGTGTTTCCTCTGAAAGATGCGACTTGGGATCTTCAAAAGCTTCCTTCAGATCTTGTTTGCAACTCATCCATAACAGCTCAGCCTGTTAATGACAAGCATGTTAATGCCCTAACCTATTCACAGTGCAAATTACAAGCACTAACCTTATGACTAATGATTTTCATTACCTAACAGACATTTTCACTAATTATGTATTCAATGTCACTGCCATCAGAAAATGGTAATAGCAAGCCTTAAAAACGATACGAGACATGTTCAAAGACCACTCCAGCAGTTTGAACATGTAATGCATCTTGTAGTTAAACATACCTCATAGATATTCAATAGGGAAGTTACTAAAACTACATTACAAATCTAAATAATGGTTAGTTGCTAAATTGTGATTCCATCATATTCTCAAGGTTTCATTAAACGTGCAGTCAACCATTTCAACACCAACAATAAAAGGCTTAAGCACTGTTTCAATGAAGATTGAAGTATTTTTTTCAAAATAAAGAAATTCATAAGTGATTCCTATCCATAAACAAAACATTCTTCAAAAAAGCCGAATGCATTCAATGGACATTAATGCAAACTAAACCAATCACATAGCCAAACTGTATACGTGCAATGAGTTTATAGTAGACAAGTTGATTGAAGATAAAGAGCAAACAAGTGAAGCAGTCTCCTTTACCAGATTATCATCAATCTCCCCGGTTGCTGGATCTAATAATTGGTTAAAACATTCTTCTTCTTCATCCTTGGTGAAATCTAAGCTGACAGCAAATGATACAAAAAGCAGCACTATAAAAAACCCCAAACATTTTGTTCTCGGGACGCCCATTTGTCCTTGTATCATCAGCATCATCACAATCACTTCCTTTTCATTGCATCGATAAACAGAACCCCCACCACCAACACAACCCAGAACCCTACAAATTTCTATCAGCTAAAAGCTCAATTCCTTATAATGTTTAGCACCAACAATTCAATTGTCCCTCAAACGGAAACCTTAAAAACCTGCTATAAAAATAAGCATATTTTCCTCCAAAACTTGATGAAATAATGAAACTTGGAATCAGAACTCCAAAAACCAAGCGAAACCCAGAATTCATCTTCCCTCGGAGAACCAAAAGGAAATGGGATCAGGATCATATTTTGGTTAAAAAAAAAACAGGAAAGAGCTCAAAATCTTTTCTTATTAATTTTGCCGACCATTTGAATTGGTTATTCAAAGATCATAAAATTTGAAGAAAAAAGAGCAAAGATAGGATCCTCATTATATGACCAGATCCCATCAATGGGAACTCATTGAAGGGGAAAACCCATATATACATCTGCTGTAATAATGCATGAAAAAGAAAGTTGATCAGGATAATCTTGCCGTTATTTTGATCAAGGGTTCCTAGAAGCAACGGATAAAATACAAAGTTACCTGCTATTAATTTTATTTTTAGTACGTTCTTGGTTTGTTGGGGATTTTTTTTTATCTTTTATTTTCGTGGGTACGAAACGAACAATGAGTGTCGAAAAGGGGCAAAAATGCATTTTGAATAAATTTTAGGATTTAAAAGTGGAGAAATGAAGGATTCGTTATGACAGGTTATTGTTCTTTGAAAATTACTACTTGTTGATTTCAAAGGATTCTTCTTCTTTTTAACTAATATATTATCTCCCAACATATTCTGACCAAATACGATATATTAGAGATTTTTAAAAGATCTTATACTGATTATCCAGTTTTATAATTGTATATCAACAAAAAAAATTCAATGGATCATCCAAATATCATATTTTTCATTAATTCCCAACTTTTTTGGAAAGCATAACGCAACAAATAAGATTTTAATTTTGTTAAACACTTCCTAAAACTATCATAACATTACACTAAATACAATGTTGTTGTTCATCAATATCTCATAATAAGCATCTGCACATATTACCAAAGATCTATCATCCATCAACATGATGGAAGACAAATTGAAATATTGCATTCATGTTTGGATCATCAAATATAATGATTTATTAGTAGATTATATTCACATAAAACTAGAAAAAAAGAACCTAAACTACCCACTAAACTATGATACTGCGAACAAACTACAATTCCACAAAAGACATTAAAACACCCTTCTTTCTTTCTTCTTCAACTAAAGAGGGCAACCAAAGCTAGAATTCGGACCTGTTCAATCTCAGAACCACATCTACACGTAGCAAAAGGAGAACTTGCCACTTTCAGAACCTAAACTAATCAATCTGGATCTAATCATCATCACCGGCAGCTGCCTTGGAGGAGGCTCCGGTTTTCTTGGGGAGGAGGAGGTTGTGGATGTTGGGCATCACACCTCCATTGGCAATCGTTACATCTCCGAGTAGTTTGCTCAGCTCTTCGTCGTTCCGAACGGCGAGCTGGATATGACGAGGCACAATTCGGGTTTTCTTGTTGTCTCTGGCTGCGTTTCCGGCAAGCTCAAGAACCTGAAACAATCATACAATGATCACTAAGTAAGATTACGGAAACAGGAAAACGCCAGCAATTCAATGAAAAAAAATAATGAAGTCTTATGTGCATACAAGCATTGATTTCTTCTAATTTTTTGGGATTAAAAAGTATCAGATTTTCACAAAAATCTTATTTCGAGACAGAGTAGCAAGTCTTTGTATGGGAATAAACCCTAATTTATTATTAGCTACAGGAAATGGAGAGAGTTAAATTTAGAGAAATAAAGCGCAGATCCTAAATGAAACGCCAATTTTATAAACGTTTTATGAATAACCCTAATTTAGAACATGGATCCATAATTCTTTTGAAAATGACAACTCCCCAAAAAAAATGCTGAGTAGTTATCACAACAACAAAAATTGAATAGAGAATAAAATTTCTCAGAAAAGGTAACCCAGTTTAGGTTAAAAACCAGATAAACAATTTTATAAAACATACCGATTAATCCCTAAGAATTTAAATCCAAATTAGGAAAGAAAATGATTGTACCTCAGCCGCAAGATATTCGAGAACAGCGGCGAGATAAACCGGAGCTCCAGCTCCAACACGTTCAGCATATTTCCCAGCCTTAAGGAACCGAGCGATACGACCCACCGGAAACTGAAGCCCGGCCTTGCTACTCCTCGATGTCGCCTTCTTCGATGCCCCGGATCCGAGAGTTTTGCCCCGACCAGCCATTTGAAACCCGTAACGAAAACTAAGAATTCCCCAAGATATAAACGTAAGAAACTGCAAAAGTTGAACGCTTGGGAAGGAGAATGGGAGATCTAAGTGACAGTATATGGTTGTTTAGGTTTATATATAGAGGATAGCATAAAGGTACTAGCCAATGGAAAGAGAGGGCACGGATCGAGAAGGATTAACCGTTGGATGGTGAGGAAATGAATAGCTCCAATTTGAACCGAACACCGCTTTGGCATTTTTGCTTTTGCGGATTTTAGTTAGTTAAAATTTGAGGGAAAATCAGTTTTTCTTCTTTCCCTTTTGGTTTGGGATTTTTCTTCTTCTTTTGGAATGAAGCAAAAACTAAAATGTCGTGCAACTTTTTATTAGTTCTTTCGGTTAATTATAATATACGTCCCCAAATTATGAGTTCAAATTTAAATTGGTTCTTATACTTACAAAATATTTAATTGAATCCTTAAATTATTATCATATCAACCATTAAAAAATACTTAAATCATTAACAATATGTGTTGTTAAGGGACTAGTCTCTGGTACACAATTATCGAAATCCTAACTTCATAGTCGATCAAAATTTTATTTTTGGTGACAGATTATTAAAACTTTTGATATTTCTTAACTTGTCTCATTTTAAAAGTTCATGTTAACACTTATATAATATCCCTCATCGAATGCCTTTTTTTTCTTCTATGAAACACGGTTGACACATTTATACACGAGGGCATCTACTATGTTACCAGTTCAACATGTTCCCTGAGACCCTGTAAGGGGTTTCACATATGTTTATCTACCATATCTTCTCTTGAAAGCCCAAAATCGACTGCCTGCATGAAATGACAATCCCATTTTCTTACAAATATTTATACACTGATGCCAGTATTTCTGGAACAAAGGATTACTCATAAATCAAGAACCCACGTTCCATTCCAATAAGGCTAACATCAAGAGGTTTATTAACAAGAGAAAATAACATCAGTGACCGAAAATGCCTTATAATATACGATTTTGACCAACTTTTTTTTGATTTGCCAAAATGACCAACAAAATCGCAATGCGATCTCTAAATCGCAACGCGATCTCCAGTATCGCAAATCAGTTTCCAGATTCGCAACGCAATAATACAAAATCGCAACGCGATAATACAAAATCGTAATGCGATTTTCAAAGCGTCATTAGTATCACAACGCGTATTTTATTTTCAAATTCCAAACACGAATATTAATATATCATGTAATCGTAACTCATAACCTAAAACTCTATATCACAACTCAATCCCATCTCCATCTCTCACTCTCTACGGCGACATCCGTCCCCATCTCCGACGAAATCCGTCTATCTCCATCTCTCAGATCCACCCTCACAATCATTCACGGTCAGAAATGAAAAATCAACCAAATCAACCACCGAGAGTTAATTTTTTTAATTATTTTTATTTTGAAATTTTTGCATTATTATTAGGTTTTTCATATTGAAATTGATGATAAGTTTACTGGTAATTTCAATAATAGATCAACCATTTCACTTAGATTGCTTATTAAATTCATTCGATTGATGCCAATACTGCTAAAATGTTTAGTCTTTAACCCTGTGAAGTTAGTATTTGTCTTTGTTTTGTTTTTTGGTTGAAGTAATGCAATTCATTCAAGTTTCAATTTTAGACAATGACTATTTGAAACCGAGAATCGCAACGCGAAATGAAAATTGCAACGACAAAATCGCAACGCGATTTTAGTTTGTTGCGATTTTCTCGTTGCGATTTTCATTTCGCGTTGCGATAGTCAAATTCGCGTTGCGATAGTCATTTTCGTGTTGCGATTTTCATTTTCGTGTTGCTATTTTAAGTTTCAGAAACTATTCTTCTTCTGCAAATTGAAACTTGAATGAATTGCATTACCTCAACCAAAAAACAAAGACAAATACGAAATTCACAATGTTGCAAATTTAAGTTTGAAGAATAAACTACTACTACTCTTTATGTTTATTATTGTTTTTGGTATATCTTCACAGTGTAGTTTTTGGTATATCTAACTTGGTATGTTTATTGTTTTTATAGAACTTGTTTTCGGCTCAATTGACCTTAAGGAATAAAATAAGCCTAGTCACTACAATTGTGCCGAAGCTTTCACCTGTACAAAGAAAATTGTTTGAGGATACTTGCTTCGGGCCATGGTTGAAAGTACAACATCCGGGTGGAGATGCTATGTTGACCCATTTGTGGCTTCAGACCATGACTAGCAATCTACCCGAGAGTATAAAACGTGGTAATGAAGAGATATGATTTTATTTTCCACCGGCGTATACGTGTTTTGGGCGGGAGGAGTTTTGCTTAATCACTGGTCTACGCTTCGGACACGATGATGTAGGTCGATACACTAGTCATATTACCCGCCCATCATGGTTATCTCGGGTTTTTCCTGAGCTGTCAATGGAGAAGCCGAATTTACACGTCGATGACTTGACGAGATTATTTAATAAGAAATATGGTTTTACTCTGATGGATGACGTCGATGTTGTTCGAGTATGCCTTTTAGTACTTTTGCATACCAGTTTTTTAGGTAGAGAGGCCAAACAACATATTCCTAATGACCTAATATTATTGGTAGATGACCTAAATGCATGGAACATGTTTCCGTGGGGTTCGTATCTATAGAAAGCTACCTGGAATAAGTTGTCGTCTGCCTTTGATGACTGAAATAGTTTGTGCGGCGATGGTTCTAAATACACTTTGTCAGGCTTTATTTGGGCCTTTAAGGTAAGAATTTCTATATAATGTTTCCAAAATTATAATTAATTATTTAACAATTACTAATGTTTGTGTATTATATTGTTTGTAGATTTGGATATTTGAGGCTTTTCCCGGCATGCAGACATATGCATTAAAAACTTCAAATGATATTCCTAGGGCTATTTCCTGGAAGAGGAAACGGCGGTTGTTGGATTGGGAAGAGTTACTATGGTATACGACAATAAATGATATAAGTTAACACAAATACTACCATATATAAACAAGTTATTACTAGTACACGTTTAACTTTGTTTGAGCTTTTATATTGTTAGGAGGCCAACACTCCATTACAGAGGCTGACACCCACGGAGGCTGAGCTTGCCACTGATTGGTGGCAAGCTAGTAAGCGTTTTTTTATGGCATGGATGATGAGTAGCCTCCACTTCGAGAGCCATCACCTTACCCAGATCACCTGACAACCACACTATACACCTCTACAACGAAAGCCATCACCTATTTCGTCACATCATCGAGCCTCTTCTCCACCATCACCTCATGATAGGCGACCGTCAAAGATGCCATGACATTTATCTCCATGTTCTCCACCTCCACGGGATAAGTTAGGGGAGTTACGTGATGAAAATGGTGCATGGTGTGATGAGGTATCTACTTTACGTGGTGAGGTAGCCGCTCTACGTGAGATGGTAGCATCGTTGCAGAATGAGGTTCATACTCTACGCAACGAGATAAGTTTAAGATTTTTCATATTTAACTTGATTTACTCGTAATTTCACTTAGATTAACCATTTTACTTAGATTGCTTAGTAAATTCGGTTGCTGCCAATATTGCTAACAGTTCTAAAATAACACTGTGAAGTTAACATTTGTCTTTGTTTTGTCTTTTGGTTGAAGTAATGCAATCCATTCAAGTTTCAATTTTTAGAAGAAGAATATTCGCAACACGAAACTTAAAATCGCAACGCGAAAATGACTATCACAACGCGGAAATGACTATCGCAACGCGAATTTGACTATCGCAACGGGATAATCGCAATGCGAAATAAAAATCGCAACGTGAAAATCGCAATGCAAAAATGAAAATCGCAACGCGAATTTAGTTTCGCGTTGCGATTTTTATTTTGCATTGCGATTATCTTGTTGCGATAGTCAAATTCGCATTGCGATAGTCATTTCCGCGTTGCGATAGTTATTTTCGCGTTGCGATTTTAAGTTTCGTGTTGCGATTTTAAGTTTCAGAAACTATTCTTCTTCTGCAAATTGAAACTTGAATGGATTGCATTACTTCAACCAAAAGACAAAGACAAATACTAACTTCACAGTGTTGCAAATTTAAGTTTCAAGAATAAACTACTACTCTTTATGTTGTCCTTGAACATGCACTAAACCTATATGTTATCCTTTTAAATGTTTATATAAGTGCTTACTTCTGGAATGTTATCTGATGCATTTTGTGAACTATGATAGAATAATGACTTGGTTGAATACCGTGCAAGTTTGAAACATATTTGTCTTTGTTTTCACTGTTTAATATCATGTTTGTTTATTTACTGATTTATGTATTAATTTATTTTTAGCGGCCCGATAAGGTGGATGCTTTACGTCGGGTTTTTTCTTGTACGACGGGGTTCACGCATCAGACGGCGTGCACGTGCCATTACGTCTCCGTTCACCCCAATAGTGCGAAGACTCCGTAAAAAGAAGCTTGACTCACCTGTTATCATTCAAGAGGCCTCTCCTATCGTTCAAGAGGCCCCTATCATCCCTCAAGAGTCCCCTCCCACCATTCAAGAGGCCCCTGTCATCATTGAAGAGGTCCCTCCCACCATTCAAGAGGCCGATTCACACGGCGTAATATGTCGAATTATTGAGAAACCCTCTCACGTGCCGGACATAATGGATGAGTGTTGGCTTTCGTATAAGTTACCGGCCAGTACCATTCCGGCAGATGAAGTGGATAGGAGAAAACTATCGGAAACAATTCTGGATAATACCCTTTGGGCTAAGACCGCAGTTGATTTTTATCTATATGAGCGGAGCCATGGGTGTTATGACATATACAAACAACGATGATATGCATTTGTTGCTTGATCGGTCTTGGTGGGGTGTGTTATTAGGGGTTGAAGACAATGGCTATTTCGATGGGGGTAAGTCTTATATTTTCTTATATTTCATTTGATTAATTTTTTTAAATTTATGTAATTCACTAATATATGTCTTTTTTTTTTGTAAAACAACATATTGATGCATGGGTGTCACGTCTTCTAATAATACGGAAAATGAGGAAAAATAAAAAAAAATACGCGATATACAATTATGTCGACGTCTTTTCAC